ATAATCCTGAAATAACTGTATTAATAATTTGAGTCGATCCATAGGCAAGTTGAACCAGTATAGGCGGCATATGGGAAAACACCCACAAGTATGGATGTAGATTTGGCAGAGGATATTTCTACCTATTTATATGTGCTGTAAATATATCCATGTGTATAATAGAATATAAAGGGGGCAAAGGTGTGAAAATGTAGTCATAATCAAACACCTTAAGGGTCTAAGTCACTGGGGGAACATAATCTTGGGGGAGCATCTGGATCAATTGACAGCACAGTCAATAAAGACAATTTTCTACATCCTACATTTGTGATTAGCAACTGGGATCTTAAAAGCTTGTGAATGACCACCTAAGATACAACTATTGTTCTCTCCCAATCCGGAGCAAAGCAGAGTAAAGAAAATCAGAGACTCAGGAAATGGTCCAAAGGACAAATAATGACTGCAAACCACAACCTTCTGAGACCAGAAGAACCAAAGGGTGCCCAGTTACCACTACTGATCTGGATCACAGTACTGATCCTGAACTGAATAGGGGGAGATGTAGAATAAAATTCAAAATGATAAACAAGATTAGACTTAACTTGTGTGATAGATACTAGTGGGCTCCCTGAGACTATGGCCCTTAGACACCTTCAAGCCTGGCACTGAACCCGCCCTAGGGTTCGCCTTCCAGCCAACCAATAGACCTCCAAAGTGAATACCATCCATGTGGAAACTACTACTCAGAACCATTAACCATACAAGACCAAAAGGACAATGTTCAGAAGGCAGGAACAATAGAATCCAGGGAGGAAATGAGAAGAGTATTGTTACATTGTTGTTAAATGCAGGCTGACTTTGTAGGGTTTGCAAGGAGCAGCTGGTGGGTTTGAACTGCTGACCTTGTGGTTCAAACTGACTTTGCAGTCCAGTGCATTATCCTGTTGCAAACAATGTCACAAAACAAAATGTGTATAAATTGTTGAATGGGAAACTAATGTGCTCTGTAGACAGTCACCCTAACCACAATAAAGTATTGAAAAAATAATAAATATATATGTGTGTGTATACAAAACTCATAGCAACCCTGTATAGGGTTTCTGAGGTTGTAAATCTTTATGGGAGCAGAAAGTCGCCTCTTTTCTCCTACAGAGCAGCTGGTGTATTCTACCTGCAGCCCAATGTGTAACCCACTACCATAACAGGGTGGGTTTGTGTGTGTGTATGTGTAATTGAGGAGCCCTGGTTAACCTCAAAGTCAGCCATTCGAATCCACCAGGAGCTCTGCGGGAGAAAGATGGGGCTTTCTGCTTCTATAAAGATTTACAGCCTCGGAAACCCTATACAAGGCCAGTATGAGTCGGAACCGACTCCATGGCACAAAGATAGCCATGTTGTTAAGTGCCGTCGAGTCGGTTGCAACTTATAATGACCCTATATAGAATTTCCAAGGCGCTGTACAAGGTCCCTCTGAGTCTGAACGAACTCCGCCGCACATAACCAACCAACCAAGGAGAAGCTGGTGGCTTTGAAACGCCACCTTGTGGTTCAAATCGACCTTGCAGTCCAGTGCTTCTTCAGCACCACACCAGGACTCCACAGCCAGCCATATATGTAATTAATTCAGCATCTTTATAACACCCTGCACCTCTACTTTTTGTTTCCTGCTTAAATATATCGACGTTAGAGCAGAGCATTTGGAGTGTATCTTATTTCTACAGGTTTTTGATGAATGAAGTGACTGTAATGAAGATGGTATGCCTTATCCCGAAAAACCAAACCCGCTGCCATCGAGTTGATTCTGACTCATAGTGACATATGTTATTGTTGATATGTGCCGTGCAGTTGTTGTTGTGTGCCGTGGAGTCGGTTCCGACTCATAGCGACCCTGTACAGGGTTTCCGAGGCTGTAAATCTTTACAGGAGCAGAACGCCTCATCTTTCTCCC